TGAAGTGAAACTCGCTAACTTCACAAATTTGAAGATTTTGTACAATTTCTTTGAAAATGATGAAAGATATGTCTGATTTGGCAGGGTAATGTCGCAGCCAAATGGCAGTCACTCTTTCTGACACAGTCCGGATCGAAAGATGACGATACTCGTGAAATGTATTGATACTTCTAAATATAGGATCCTATCGAACATCCCTACTGTCAAGATGTATAACCCAAGGTACCGACGGAGCTATTTTGGGGCGTCATGGAAATAATTTTAAATTTTCATTTGCATTTTTCAAGTGTTGTGCAATGATTTTGGGAAAAATGTCACGAATAGTCTTATAAAGCATAGTAGAGTATATTTCAACAGTTGGCGGAACTTACTCCACTCTGACCAGGAGGGTGAAACGGGATATTAATGCACAATCTGGCAACCCTGTCGCACCCTCACGAAATGGCCGCTGACAACCACACAAGTCACCGTGTTGTAATTGAATAGCATGGAATTAAACCTTCAGAGTATGTTTTGTGAGTGGTACCAAGAGTTGACAGAGCCCACACATGTGTCACACACAAAAAAGAAAAATATTGCAAATTTCTAGTTTTTCTGCAGGTTTTAGGTTTGCTGGTAGCTCTACGACATATATTTGGGTATTTCTTAATCGCTGTGAATATAGTGTGGATATTTGTTAAGTTCCTGAACAACCAAAAATATTTAAAACTTTATGGATGTATGGATATTAAAAAAACAGAATGGTTGTGTGGGAATATCAATCTAAGGTGCTGATGTTCTGATGATCGGCAAGTAAATGAATGAATGTTTGGAAACGAGCAATATCTATGAACTTTTTGGTAGAGCCAGTCATCAAGTAGGTGCTTAATAGCTATCTGCAACAGGTTTATAGGAAAAAACACCCAGTAGATGATCTTGAATCAGTAAAATCGCATATCAATTGAAGAAAATAATATTATCATGAATAAAAAATCAACAATGGTAATCAAAACATGAATTTTATTCAAAAATCAAGCATTTGTTCAAATTTTGGCTGAATTATATGTAATTTCTTAATATTCAATAAGCTGGTGATGTTTCAGTGACAAGGTGTCATCTCATACTTTGACAATATTTTGTTTTCAACATTTCTTAGCTATTGGTTGCTAAAATTTGTTGATTGGAACTTGAAGCTCATTCGCTGTATTTAACGGGCTGTTGTTACCCTATAGGTGGAGAATAACGGACTGTTGTTGGTGAAATTGGCCCTAAACAATCTATATTCTTATAAAATAAAGAGAGACAAGAAACTCAGATGAAAAACAAAGGGAAATCGTAGGCATGTGCGCAATAAAGCAACAGAATCAGGAATAGATAAGCGGCGTACTTTTCTGCTTATTGGTTTCATCAGGCCCAAATGGAATTACATCCGAAACATCGAAGTGAAAACATATACCCATCACATCTGGATACCGGTGTAACCTAAAGGACAATAAGGATGGAAAAGAAAATACAACCAGAAGCCACCAACAAGGTTAGCTAGCTCTTACTTTTTCCTTAGTACGGCAGAATATACCATTCGTTAACTTTGACACAGACAAATTGTATTGTATATATTTCTGTTTCTAGTTTGATGATAGGCTTCCAAGTTTCCAGATATTTATTCCCGTTATATTAATAGATTCGGAATGAATTACACAACAGAAAGCATAAATAGTTGAAGTTTTGCTTCCATTTTAACAATGAACTTATCACGGAAATAGTTTATGGTTCTCAATGAGAGAAATGCTGCTCCAAAAACACTAGCTTTATAAAAATGCAAATGATTGTGCATAGCATTATGATTTCAACTCAACTAAAGTTTAATAAGCAATTTGGAAAATTGTAGCTGTTATTAGCGCACATTTTCATAAAAGCAACCGTAAACCAACTTTTTTATGGTGACTATAAAATTTTAAGAGCACCGCTGAGAACGTGTAGTGTTGTAATACCATCTGAACTAGTATTAAAATTCTTTGGCTGTTTCTTAATGATATGTTGCCTTCTTAAATGTTCGCAAAGAAACTTTATACGTTAATTTTACATCTGAATTGCCTAGTTGTTTTATTTCAAAATTGTAGCTATGGTTTTTGTGTTTGTTTTAAGATATACTGTTGACTTCGTGTTTTATTGGAGAACCAGTTTTTACAGGCTTTATGACCGGGCTTTATGACTACTCCGTTTTGAACAATGCGTCGGAAGGTTATAAGGGTGTTTGTTTTATGACTGTAACAGATGGGAAAGTATGAATGTGAGGGTGATGAGGTTAAATTTTATTAAGCAACTTCTTTGAACGTAAAATAGGATATGCTTTGTTTTGAGAAATGACGTCTCATTTTTCTGGCTAAACTCTGGCTCGAAGAGATGTTTGTTTATTTTGCGTTTTTCGGTCGCATAATAATTCAAATGATTTCTCTGAGATCTATATTACAATACTGATGAAGACGCTGGGTGATCTGTCTGGAGCGAGGAAATTATTTACGCTATCTAACCTCCTTCCTTTGTAGACACTCCAGATAAAATCCGGCTTGGATTCCTGTTCAGGCTCAAGCACAAAATTGTAGCACTTTGAAAAGGGGAAACATTTGCGGTTAGGCACTGGAAACTGATGAATGGTGACCTTGGTAAGAACTCATTTATATTGTTAGTGTTTGTGTTTTCAGGGCGCAATACCGTACTTTGCCAAAATGTGTTGAAAGTTTTAGGTGCTACAGACCGTCTATACATGTATCTGCAGGTATGGAATAAAAAGGTTGAAGAATCAGAAGCCCCATTACCATTTTCATCTTTAAGAAAAAGCCTCTGGCATGAATCGTCATTCTTATAATATATCTCTACAACAAATAAAGATATTGATCTGCGGTTTGCACCATGTTTACTACTTTTTATACACTTTCGGGTCAATGCAAAAAATTATGTTAGGCTAGTTGGGATTTTCGAAAAAATAAAAAAAAACAACGCGTGCACATTCAAAAAGCGCCATCTAGCGGCCACAAACTGGAATAACTTGAAAGAATTGAGCACTCATTTGGAGCGCAGGTAAATAAACTTTCTAACAAAATCAAGATCATCAAAATCGGTGTAGCCAAACAAAATTTACGTTCACCCTTCCTCCACCCTAAGATAACCAAAATATCAGAAACTCTCATGAGCAAAAAAGTTCGGAAATTGAGCGATCAACACGCTACCTATGAGTATTTGCAAAATAATGCTTGAATTTTTTAAATTGGAATGAGGCCACCTGGTCATTTTAGGAAGCTGATGACAATTGATAGCCAATTTACTTTGGCCACTTTTATCGTACCTAATTTGTTTTAATCGATACCTCTAAGTTGAGCGGTTGCCGAGATACAACCGGCATGCTTTATTATTGGGCCACATATAAAGAAGTACAATATGTGTTTAATATGTGGCAGGCGACTTCTATCTGAAATGATATTTACGATCATGGTGTTATCAACATCATAGTTACTAAGTTTTGTGCCATTCATCATAAATACATTATTGGTGTCGTGTGATTGCTATTTTAGTATTTGCATTGTGGGTGAGCCTAGAAGGAATCTAGGAGCTGCTACAAACAACTGCTACGCATATTGGGGTAGCTTTTCGAGCTGGTGAGCGCAAGATAAAATACATAGGCGTTTTGTGAGCTGTTTAATACAAATAAGGTAGCTCTTCCAATTTTATCCAAGGGCTAACTTGTGCCGAACGTAATCCTTTATGAACTAACTGATGACAGCGTAGCGTGGAAAGTACAGAGTCCACCTACTTGACACCATTTCTCATTCAATTGTAAGGTCTTATTTGAAAGGAAAAACAATCATGCTTAAAAAGTATATAATTATAGTACTACAGACGAGGTCAATTTTCGGTCTGTGGTACCGTGCGCCAGTGGCGCTCCCAGGATTTCAGTCTGGGAGGGGTAAAATGGAAAGTAAATTCTCAATGTGACGTGCTGAAGTGTTATAATGATTTAACATTAAAAGCATGGACATATGCAGATATATAAATATAAATACATACAATTTTTTTTTTATTTTGAATCATACGAAATCAAAGTGTAAATATAGCAAACCAAGCTCGATCAATCTTCATATACTAAAACAAAAATGCAAAGTAATATAATCTATCACAGACTTTTCTACATAACAATGTCAGACAAAACAATAAAAAATGCATCTTCATGAAAAAAATAACAATAACAAATATGTTACGACTTCTATAAAGTATAAAACTGAATGTAAATCAAAATAAAATTCTTAATCATGAGAAAAACACAAAAAATATTCATTGCATAACTACATTCTCTTAGCCAGTCTCAAAAAACAAAAACATATAAACTATGAAACTACATCAGTTCACAGTCTCAAAATAAAACAATCATTACATTAGCATCAGAATTTGAACAGACTTTTGCTGCTGGCCAATAAATAAAACTACATATCTTGATTGGATACTTTGGAAAAGACCAGCGTGGTGGTTTAAACGTAAGTAAACCTTTAACTACATCTGCTTTTTTATTTATTGGCCAACAGAAGGGAGATGAATTTGAGAGACAACCTTAGGCAAAGTTCAGGTGTTATCATATTACAAAATCAAGGCGCTTATTCTTTTTGCTGGCGAGCCGATCTATGATTGTATTCACGTCTATTTTAATATCCCTAAGCATATACAAAAGAGCTAAACCCACTAATCGTTCTTGTAACATAGTGGAGCGCAGCCAACTTTATATCCTTTTTAGATGGGAGAAACTTCTTTCAGATGTCGCAACACTTACCGGCAATGAAATTAATAATTGTAGGCATCTATTAATTGAAGGAAAAATGTTTCCGTCACATGATAAATACAGTGATATTCCACTGTCTGTAATTTCTTGTGTAAGTGACTTCCAAAGGTGAAATTATGCTTTTAATCTGGTGCTTATTAAATTTTTGTTTTCGTTACTATTTAGTCCATGCAAATATTTAGAGATTGTTTCTAATATGTCCATTATTTCAGCTTCAGTTTCTGAATTAAATACTGACACAAAGAAAATATTAAAATTGTATATATTCAAAGATTCTTCATTGAACCGGTATACCGAATCCTGTAGTATATTATCTAGCAAAGGGACATATAGGTTCAGTCTGTAATGATTTTCCTTGTCAGACGTAACTATTTTCGCTCTGTCCTTTGGCCTGTTTGTTATTCTTGGCACAGTCAGTTCAATACCCAGGGTTTCATGTGATTTCATTATAGATGCGAATAGTATTCTAAAGTGTTTTTTGGAATTTGCGCGTCTTTCTTGTGCAACTGAAATAATATTTCCTATGAGTTTGACAGCGTATTGTTTGTCAATTGTTTTTGATTGTAAAATCTTACTCAGGTTGACTGTTAAAGCTAATAGATAACACAAACACTTTAGTGATACGATCAATTGGGTGGAAGTGAAGCTTTTGAAGAAGCTTGGCGGTCTTTCCAATTTGATATAATATTTAGTACCTCCACAATTTTCTCGAATTTGCTTTCAAATTGGTGCACAGAATTGTGTCTCTAGGTCCATCGTGTTTCGTACATACTATGAATTTGATATCCGTCTAGTTTTCTTTTTAATACTGTATTTGTTTTAGAGGATGCTTTTAAGAACGCAATTACTTCCTTCAGTATACCTACAGTATTTCTTACTGCTTGGAGAATGCTGCTTTTTGCAATCGAAAGATTCAAGGCATGATTTGCGCATGGGCTTTTTAGAGGATTTGGCAAACATTTTTGCAATTCCATTACAGCGCCCTTTTGTTCACCTAACATTACAAACACATAGTTTTCAGTCTAAGTTATTGGTTTTAATGAAATGAATTACTGTTTGAGCAAGAATTTGACCTGTGAGTTTGGGCTCCATTGTATCTTCATTAAAATTTGAGTAGCAATCCACAAATCCCATGAAGTCCTCGTAAATATGTTTTTGATAACAATACCACAATACGATTGACATTTGTGATTTATGGCTAATGTCTGTAGTTTCGTCAAATATAATACTGTAATACTGACGTGACTTAAAACTATATCCAAGATTTCTTCGCCACAACATTCTACAATTCTATTTTGGATGCGGCTGCTTATGTACGTAGCATGTGCTTTTGAGTTTTCTAAGTTTTTTTTTTCAATAAATTGTCGCCGCTCTCGACTTTAAGTGTTAAGTGTTAGTTCTCCGCGTCATTCGTGCTGTCATTAGAAAAAAGTCGTCCCCTATCTCTATGCCATCTAAGTGGTATATTTTGGCGTCCTAAAAAAATTATAGATTCTATTATAGGAATCAATATTTGCCGATTTTCTGATACTTGCTTAATTCGCTCTGAACCTATTATATTTCTTATATCATTCTCTGGATTTTCGTAAATCTTTAAAAAGTTTGTAGCATCTGAAACTGCTTCTGTATGATATATTGAGTTCTCATGTGTCTCACAATCACCGGTTTTGCCATACAATTTCGAAAATTTCTTTAGTGGAACGGTAACAAGTTTTCCCAATTTAGTTGATTGATGTACTCCTAATTTTGCAAAAACCACGCAATATTTACAGAAAAGCCCTTGTAGTTCCTCTGAATATGACAGCCAAGGAAATTTCTCAGTGTTTTTTTGATAAGTAACATTTCACTTTATTATTTTTCAAGTGAGTGGAATAGGAATATTTGAAAGACTCATTAGGGTTCATTGCACACCTCAATAAGGTAGATATATTTTTCATGGGAAGACAAGTTGCCGCTGAAACTTAGATATATCGCAACATCAACAAAATTGGATCCTTTAGGTTTCGCACCCGATTGTTCAACACTTGGTTCAGCATACGGTACAACATAAAGAAATTTTGAACTGGAAGTCTCAGGTTGAACTTTAGGATTATCATCAGTTTTTTCCGGTAATTCTTGTGCTGGTGGACCAGACAGTTTATTTTGTTTAGAAAGGAACCAATCGATGGTATTCTGTCTCCTTTTACTCATCCTGACAACAGCAGCCGTCAACCAGCACTAAAGGTTATACAAATATTGTCAAATAAACGGCATTATTGGTTTCCTCGCATTCACGTATCTCATAACAAAGAACCTTTTCTGTTTGGAAAACAAGATTTCTTAAGTTCACGCAATTTTCAAACACTAAATATATAATTTGCCATCTCGGACGAACGAAATGCACTAAAGTGCTTATATGCAGGGACTTTCGAGACAAAATACTCGTAGACATAGATGATAATGATAGCTGGAGTATGGACCAAGCACTTCTTAATTGAAATTGTATTAAATTTCCATTTTTCCGTCTGTCATTTTTTTAGACACGATACTTGTATAGTATAAAAATTAAAAACAAACAAAAATTAATTTTCTGGCTAATGCGTGGAAAATAAAAAATCAATAGAACATAGAAAATAGCGTTAATACCAACCAGATCAACAAAACTCCGCTTGTTCACTTCTCAGCCAAATTTTGTTGCGGACTCCGGACTGGTACAGAATTTCGACACTAGACTAGACCATAAAAGACTAGACTATACCTGTTCCAACAGGAAGAAGCGTATACCGCACGTTCGTGGGAGAGTAGTCGCTAGTCGCATGCGCACTGAGCGGGTTGGCAGTGTTGCCGTTATCCTTTCTTAAAGTTACAGGTTTTTTTATAAGACGTTCACTTTATACCACCTTTTCAAAGACTGCTCGAGTCGTCTGGCGGGAGGGGGAATTACCCCCTTTACCCCCCCGTGCGAGTGCCAGTGCCGTGCGCGAGTATATACAGGGTGACTTTGAAGTTCAGTCATTAATTTTCAGATAATGACTGTAGAAGGAAGATAAACCAAAATATGTGTGTAAAAATAAAAAAAAAATAAAAAAAAATATTTACCTTGTTTTATAAAGTATCCTCCCGACAAGTATTTCAGTGCGGACCTGTATTTGATCGTGAGGTCTTGGAGCACCGGCATGCCGTCCCCATGTGAGGTCTTAAGTCACCTGATTCACGAGCCCGTTGTACTACATTAACAAAGGCACGAGGGGTTGGTTGCACTCGATTGGGAAACCGATCCGCATAAACATGTGCCATTTTTTATTTCGTTTGAGCCACGCAAGAGACACCACTATTCACTCGCGCGTTACCGACTGACACTGACTGTATACAACTGAATGAAATAATTGTAAAAACTCCGTTCCAAATTCTTTCGCTTTTTTGTTTCCGATGCGATGAACCGATAAGGCGGATTATATCCGTTGTTCCCAAACACGAGCACATAATATTATTATTGAGACAGGGCGGTACTCAAACTTCCAGGGCTATAACTTTGTTACTTTAATTTTACCAGAAAAATGGTAAAGGAAAAAAACATTTCTTTTGATCAGATCTACTCACTGTTAAAATAAATGACTCATCTTCGAAGTATATATATATATATATATATATATATATGTGTATGCTTTTACGCGCGAGCATACGAAGGTCAAGATTTACGATGTTAGTCAAGAAGAAACGTTTTTAAATTCGTCCTGCGAATCCTAGCCGACCACCAAAATCGGAAATTTGAAGGGTTTTTGTTTTCCCAAGTGGTAAATGTTCTCTTGATGTTAGAACTCCAATGATGATACAAGTCAGTAAGTCTGCGAAAGGTTGGGATATCTCGAAACTGGAGATATATACTACAGACCAAAATTGTGAATTGACCTAAACATACCTTAGTATAAAAGTTGATAGTCTGCGAGATAGAAAGTTAAAATTTTATTTTCTATTTTTCCTTATTGCTTACTTCAGATGGTGGCATAAAACACGGTATAGGGAGGTTTTCTAGTATGAGAAACAAGAATCCGTTATTTTTTATGACCAAACTTCTAAAGGGCGCCACTTACACCACTATTTCTGTAAATGACATCATAACTTTTTTGTGCTACCCTGTGTACAACAACTAACTGAAAAATCTTATTTTTTCGTATTTACACAACAAAAAAGGTTTACATGTTAGAAGTGTTTAAAGATAATATATTTCGAGATATTTGTTTTTAAAAGTTCCAATGTAGATATTATTTGTACTACGATGATGATAAAACATTTTTATAACATAATCAAGTTGCTTTGCATCATATCTGAGTAGCGTTCCTATGGTTTCTAATGTTTGTCATAAAGTTGCTTTAAACTCCATGAATAATTTTAAGTTGACAATAAGTTGTTAAACATCATGGAGTATACGTTTGATGAATATTCTGATATGTATTTAATGTACGGATTGGCAAGATGTAGTGCTTTAAAAGCACGAAGATTGTACGCTGACAGATTCCCTAATAGACTCCTGCGTAATTCAAATACTTTCCAACGAATCGATCAGCGGTTACGAGAAACTGGTAATAAATGCTTATAGCTTTACTCTGAGTAGTAAGAACCATTTGGATTTTAGGTAGCTTTGCTCAAAATATGGGCCGACCCAGATCGCTTATTATGTCACTTATTGTTATTGAAGGAAAAGCATGTTCCACTATTCTTCTTCTTCCTTTCGTTATGTCAAGATGTGCTTATTGCGTATCAGCAGCCATATCATCGCGATCCATTCTGGAAGATTGCTGACCTTCTCCACTTGGTTTCATCATCAACATCATTTCTTGCAATTTTGTGTGATCATTGCTGGTAAGGACAGTCTGCGAAAATCGAAAGCTCGCCGAGGTTTACCTTGCAAGGTTAAAAATTGGTTTGAATCTCCTCTGGAGTTTGCATGGGAAGATTTAAACTTTAATTTAGACACTTGGCAACCTCAGAAATAATAATTTTTAACATTGAGAATGTTTTTTTATTGGCTAGGACTTATGTCCTATTAGCCAGATCCGAATTTTTATTTGATTTCTAGACAATTCACATGACACGACTACATCCATGGCGGCGTATCAGTAGCACGACCGTCTGACAGATCCGGCCACCCAGGTCCCCCATTGAGAATGGTCATTTTTAGGCTTTTTCGCTTATAACGCCACATAACTGCACGTGTTTCGGTTATACTACGGCCGCTGAAAAACGGAAAGGCAGAGGACCTGACGCAGAACTTTTTATCTGTGGGCACCTTCCTCTGTATTATTGTTAGCTGGGCGGCGAGGTTGCCAGAATATGGCAAACGTACCCCTAAATGCTCATTAATGCTTAGTAAGCTAACCAATAAAAGATGAAGGTTAGATTTCAGAAGCGAAAATTACTTATGCCCAATACCACCTCTTTCACTAAAAACTACAACAAACTGGAAATTACATTACAAAGAATTTTTTCATTTTCCGCTAATGTCGTCGCCGCCGGTAATGGCGATACCCTTTTTAGAGATGTTTATTGCCTCTGCACTACATTTTTGCAGTGTTTCTAGATTATTTCGTGTGTTTACTTTTAACTAGATGTTGAGATGTTAGGTGCTCCACAGTTTGGATCCCCAGCGACAAAGGAGCGGCCGTAAGCTCCAGCTCTGGATGTAAAAAGTTCGTCTGGCGACTGTCCGTTAGAGAATAAGTAATCGATCAGTCGGACAGCTCTCTTCTGGACAGCATCGAGCATGGGGCTGCAGCACCCCAAACATGTGACCAGTACTCGAGGGTAGGACTTATCTGGGGCTTGCACAGAGCTGCCACTATTGATGAGATGTGGTCGTGCCAGATCAAGTCCTTGATGAGCTGGACTCCGATCAGCCGAGATGGCTCTTTGGTAGAACTCGGCCATCTTAACCGGATGACCGCTAGGACGCTTCTTGGTAGTCAAGGTACAGTACTGAGTTTTTGATGCATTAATCTGTACCAAATAGTTGCGTCCCCAAGCAGTGATAACTCCCTGATCTGTCGTCAGAGAGGAAGTCGCTGCTATTCTTCTTTTCTCCAGCTCACCGACAGAGATTGGCATGTCACTATGAATACCTGCATGTAGAGTGCTGTCATCAACAAAGCTGTAGATCGGATTGATTATACAGGAAAGGGGGTCGTTAATATATAAGAGGAAGAATGTCAGAGACAAGACCGATCTCAGGAACACTCGCACTGACTTTATGGGGTAAAGAACAGAACCTGTCAATTACGTCGGATATATTGCAGCCAGACTTTGGCAAATCTTCTCTGGGAGGCCATGGGATGGAAGTTTGCATAAGAGGGCAACATGCCACAGCTGGTCGAACGCTCTTATGAT